AGTATCTCAGCCCTCACACAAATCGAATGATTTATGTGGCGCATATCTATTTGGTGCCTCCTTGTACTGTTTATGTGTTTAAATAAAATAAATAAAAGCTAAATGATTAACCAAATATCACTACAACTGTAAACTAAATGGAATAAAAAGCGATTTTCTTATAGACAATTAAAAACTATTAATCTCTATCAATTACTCATTCAATATATGCCCTAACGTTCAAATGACAGTTTGTGCATTAGAACAATTTAAGAAAACATGTATAGTTGTCACGAGTTGATATAATCCTGTTTGATATTCAATGCTTAGTTGTGTTTTACATCACGAACAGACTTCAGTTAGATAAACTTTGTAAACAAGAAAGTAATGAACAAGTGTTCTGTCCTAGTATGAAATTGCTTGACAACGTGTACCTACTACCAACCCTACTATCAGGGGTCGAACCCAAGACCTTTATACATTATACTAATCTCCATTACTTTAAATCATTCAGTTTTCCAACTTCAGTCACTTTGTAATACTGTGTAACAGGTAACTCGAGCGCTAACCCCAATACTTAAGAGTCTTTATTACTACTCCTAGTGAAACAATGAATAGGCATCACCATGAAATTCTAAAATCTAACAAATACATTGTCTAATATTCCCTGATTTCCAGTGATTGTATCTAATTGGAATCAGTCTACTTCCGATTGCGTTCAACCTATTGGCTTCCGTCATACTTCGTAGGTTGTTCAAAAACCGAGAAATATTGACTCGTGAGGAGCAGGCTGGGTTTCGTTCTGGTCGAGGATGTATTGATCATATCTTCACCCTCCGCCAAATGTTAGAACACCGTCATACTTATCACAGGCCAACAATCGTAGTGTTTCTTGACATCAGGGTTGCCTTCGATTCGTTGGATAGGACTGTTCTCTGGGATTGTCTATTGAAGAAGGATGTGCCTGAGAAGTTTATTAACATCCTAAAAGCCCTATATAAAAACACCTCAGTCAGAGTGAAGGCATACAACCACCTCTCTCCATTGTTCCATTCGAGCAATGGGGTTAGACAGGGTTGACCAATCCCACCGTTCCTCTACAACTTTGCCATCGATGACATTCTGGAAACAGCTCTGATGGATGTAAGTAATGGTGGTGTGGATCTGATGCCTGGAGAAAGACTTCCCGACCTTGAGTATGCGGATGATATTGTCTTAATGTGCGATAATGCCCAAGCCATGCAATCCGCACTTAATCAGTTGGCAATCAGTGTCCGTAGGCATGGTATGTGCTTTGCACCTTCCAAGTGCAAAGTACTTCTACAAGACTGGCAGGATTCTAATCCTGTACTCACCCTGGATGGTGAGCAGATAGAAGTATTCGAGAAGTTCGTGTATCTGGGTAGCTACATAAGTGCTGGTGGTGACGTGAGTGATGAGATCAATGCATGTATAATAAAAGCCAGGGAGGCTTATGCCAATCTGAGCCACCTTTGACGCCTTCGTGATGTCAGTCTGGTTGTCAAAGTTCGGATCTACAACGCGTCGGTGAGGGCAGTTTTGCTCCATGCTTGTGAAACCTAGACTCTCCGAGTTGAGGACGTTAGAAGACTCTCTGTGTTCGATCATCGCTGTCTCCGAAGGATTGCTGACATCCAGTGGCAACACCATGCAGAGACTCGGCATCGTGTGTTCGGGCACAGAAATGATAATGCAATTGGTGTCACTATCTTGAAACACCGACTTCGGTTGCTTGGACATGTTCTACGAATGTCGTCCCAGAGAATTCCACGTCGTGTATTATTTGCCGACGCTGGGACTGGTTAGAAAAAGTGGAGAGGTAGTCAGTGTATGACATGGTGTCGTGGTATGAAAGGAAGCTGTACAGAAGTGGCTTCTGTCGGTCCTTCCTTGCCTGGGGTCCGAGAGATGGTGCAACACAGTGGCTAGAGACGTTATCAGATATGGCTCAGAATAGAAGCTGGTGGCGATTCTGCTGTAACTTTCTTTTACTTTCTTCATAAAAAGTGGTTGTAACTTCTTTAGCCCCCTTGTATCAACATTTATGTATTCAAATAAAATACAAATAATTGGAATCAATCCATAATGAATTATATCATTATTTACTACAACAAATCAAAGCATTTCACTCACAATAAAAATAAGTAACCTATTGATATTTAGGTCGATCGCACTTCAACCAACCTTCTATTCTTGAACACACGCACACAAACAATCACATATATGTACATACAGAGGAAGGTACTATTTTTTTATTTTTAAAAAAAAATACAAAATGCATAATTATTATCATCTTGAATAAAACCATTGTACGTGATAAAAAGTACAATGCCAGTAACCATACAAATACACACACACACACACATACCATTAACCAGTCACAGGGAGGAGAGAGGTGGAGAGAGAAAGGTATATAAAAAACCAACACCATTAATAATTGGCCAAGATGAATGTCATTCTCAGTCAGTATATCAAGTATACGTATTAGATTACTAACTGTGAACAGTGTTTCCAAGTTATCAATAGTAGTAGTCTAACAATCATCGATTCATGATCTTAATCAAATGCCAACTGTCCATTAATTTAATTTTGCGTAATTTCATTTCTCATTTGATCGATATTTTAATAAATTTTATTCTAGACAAAAATATAATTAGTTAAATTCATAAGTCGATTTAATCTAGACCAACATTGAAAACTTGAAAGCACTAGAATACCGTTTCATCTTAGTATGGCATTCCTTAACAGTACACACCCATGATCCCTCATACGGAATCCGAACCTAAAACATTCAGTCTCGTGTGTGAACGCTTAACCATTCAACTCATGAATTCAACTATTAGACTAATACAATCTTCACAAACACTCATTCTGATAAAAATATAAATGTTAGTGACATTAGAAATAATATGGAATTTAGTTTGAACTGTAGACAGAGATTCGAGTCAGTTATTAAATTGTAAAACAAAAGACGTTTTAGCATCCTGAAAAGTGTTCACAGGAATTAAATTAGAGAATACTTTGAATTGAGCAACGATTGAGTTGATTTTCAATAGTTCTCTTTAATAAACATTTAGTTAGTTCGTGACTAATCATGGTGGTACAGATAGATTTACTCATTACTTAGAGATAAAGATAAACGTGTTACGACTTTCTTATGAATACGAACACTTGAATCCTTATAGCTTCTACTATGTGTAAGAGACGAGATCAAACACCATAAAAGAAACAGGTAGAAATATAACAAATCATTTTAAATGACATAGTTCTATCTACTAAATGACCGCTATGGACCATGTGTGATAGAAACGAGTTGCATATTGTTTTGACAATACCCTTTCCTAACCGCGAATAGAAGTGTTCACTAACTTATTGGCTCAACTGTCTGTTTTTGCGTCCAATATAACTTTCTCCATAAGAGCAACTAAAGTCATAGATACACATAGATTTGGCAAAACCAGGTAACTTATTCTTTAGTTGAGGAATCATCATAGATAGACAGAGGTCAACCTATTTCATAGCACATCACTAGTTATATCTCCGTTGAGTTACAGATTCAGGAAGAGAAGTTTCTTGCTAACCGTTGATGTTGCTACTTTCCTATTTATTACATCTAAGTGTTTCTTCAAAAAAACCTGTAGATAACCCATTTCAATCAACATATTATAAATAAGCTCTAATTTTTTTATTGATGATGTCGTTTAAGTATATCTTCCTAGCTCTATTGGCAAGACATCTAACTAGGTTTCTCTTCTAATGAATGGGTATAAAGCTCAAGAAGTGTGTACAGACTTGCTGAAGAACTTTTCCTATACACAATTCTACTCTGTAATTTCATGTCAAATACATACGATTGTCCCCATTCGTGTTTTTATTCACTACATAGCTTCAATTGAATCATGAATTCAACTATCGAAATTATTATAATATCAACAAATTTCACCCATATCTGATTGAAACTACTACATTTTTCCCAGTTTAAGGGTTGTGGAGATTGTTAAGTTTTTTTATTGAGATCACGAACCAATGGATGTTAGACCACCACTGAAAACCTGAACGGCCGTTCCGTCCTATTGTGGGACTCCTCAGCAGTGCGCATCCACGATCTCGCTCGCGAGATTCAAACACAGGGCCTTCAGTCTCGCGCGCAAACGCCTAACCTACTGGGGACCACTGAGCCGCCATCCAGTGGTGTCAATGTCTAACCTCAACCAATCCACGAAGTCGCGTGACCATCTCCCATTGTAGTGAAGTAGACACTTGTTTCTACCCGGCATGGATTAGTCCCACTGGTCACGGCTTTTCATCAGAACTCCGAGGATTTTCTCACGTAGCTAATCACTAGTGAGCACATGGTAATTATCAGTTTAGGGGTTGTGTAGCACTAGACGGCAGTTTCGCTTTATTGTGGGACTCCTCAACAGTGCACATCCACGATTCCACTCGCGGGATTCGAACCCAGGGCCTTCATTAAAAAGAGAGAGACAGACAGAATTTCAATCAACAAACATACCCTATAAATATTACATCATCATCATTATCATTCTATATTGCAATAGAAAGACAAAACACACATGGTATGTAAACCAATTATCATATGTATTTTGAAATTATATCCTAATTACAATGGTAAATCATTAGAACCAATAATCGTACTTTCTTATTCACTTTTTCCATTCTCCAAACTTAAAATTCAAAGAAAAAAAAAAACAAAGTAAAGAACCAAAGAAAATCAAGCATAAGAGAATAATCATGATGAATAGACCGTCAATGCAAAACAATAAAAAAGAGATATTTAGGGGGATAAATGGGCATGGGTAAATAGGTGAGTGTGTGTGAGTGAGAAAAGAATTAACCCATAAAAAGAATATAATAGGACTCTATTTATTGTCCATACACAATGGAACAAAAGGAGACACAGAGAGAGAGAGAGAGTTGGCAAAGAAACAATTCCTGTTAAAATTCATATGAACATAGAGAGAATATACTGTTCTATTGGGTTAAATTAACCAATGAGAATATGTGGATACTGGTTTTTGTGTGAATAATGTAGACTTTTTACATGGTAAAAATGTTTTCTCATTGAATTCTTTAGATTTACATTCATTTATATCAATTGAAGGTGATAGAAGAATATGAGGATTAGATAATGCATCTGGTTCATCTAGTTCTCCTATTCCACGTCCTTTTCCATCAATTTCCATATCAATAACAGAAAAGTTTGTTTGAGGCGCTGATGATGTTAAATAACTACAACAATATGCAGAGAAAAAAAACAAACACGAGTCCAATAAACAGAAATAGAATCTATGTATCTGTGTTTCGGATAGAACATGAGAACATCAACATAAACATAAGCACTAGTTACGAGCATATGAATCAATAACATGGACATATCAGACAATCACTATCAACTATACAAAATAGTGTACATATCTGTACCAGCGCAACTTATCATATTACATTCAGAAGAGATTAAATTAAAAAGATGAACAATAAACAATGATAATTAAAAAGACTAGACATTGAAGAATATCATTCAAGAAAGAATGACAAACTATGTATGAAAGGAAATTAGAGTTCGAGATTCAGAGGAACATAAAAAGTATATGCATTTGAAAAACTGTGAGACATATCAACTAACATTTCCCAACAATATAACGTACGTTAAGGTAAGCAGAAGCCCCTGAATAATCTTGTACAGACGAGGGTGAAAGGAGTTCACTCCTTCAATCGAAATGACCTCACACGGCCACGCGTATACAGCCTCCGCCAGAGAAGTCCTACTCACTGCCTTCTCGTGGCGGAGGTGTTGTTTATGAAATTTAGAGGACGAAAAGAGAATGTCCGGAGCTTTAACCGGGCCAGTGGACACGGTGAGTCAATATAGGGGAGTTGTAAAACCCTCATTACAAAGCAATGGTGCACATGGGCTCCAGTATCCTGAAGGAACAAATGGTGTATGAACCAATTGTTGGTCACTAGCTACCATGCAACTGCATCTCCTTACGTTGCTACACTGCCTTGTGGGTCAGACCTTTAGGTCCAAAGGCTCGGGGTGTGGCCACCTAAGAAAACCACCTGATTCGGTCTGGGCACCCGGACAGTATCACAGTCCACACACAAATAGAATGAAATGATGATACTTACTGAGAATACTATTTTCGCTTAGATTAAAAGTCAAACAATTCACATTATTATTTTTTTAACTACGTCACTTATTCACTCTCTTTTATTCCCACTTTGTGTAGCCTATGGTAGGAACTCGATCCTATCTAAACGATCTCGAGTCACTGACTGGTTGAAAATTGAATGTTATCATCGAATACGAATACTGAAATAGCTTTTCTGAAACCACGTGCAACATTCAAACTAGCTGCCTTCAACGTTCGCACACTTATGCAGCTTCGACAACAGATAGGGTTGGCTATGTCTTTGGAAAGTCTCAATATCGATGTCTGCTGTCTATCCGAGACCCGTATTCAAGACTCTGGTGAAGTACTACAAATTCGCTCTCCATCTGTCGCTTCAAAAAGCTTGTTTTGCGTGCGTTCATCCAGAGACCCTGTGGCATCTTCGTCTGGTCTTGCTGGCGTTAGTGTCATAGTAAGCGCTAGAGCAGAGGCAGCACTAATCGATTGGATCCCCATTAACAGTCGGTTATGTGTTGTTAGATTAGAGAATTTCATCAAAGTGAGAAGAAATCGGCGTGAAAAACGATGTCTTTTCGTCATCTCCACCTATACCCCGACAGATTGCAGCCCGGATGCAATCAACGATGAGTTTTACCACTAGTTATCTGTTCTTCTCTAGAAAGTGCGTTCGACAGATATTGTAGTACTTCTAGCCGGAGACTTGAACGCTCAGGTCGGGCGTCTAGGCACAGAAGAGAGTCGTTTAGGTGGCCGATGGGGACTCGTTGGTCGCAGGTCAGATAACGGGGACCGTCTACTGCAACTGTGCACAGACCACAACCTATTTCTGGCAAGCACTAACTTTTGACACAGTCATCGCCGATGTGCTACCTGGCGTCCTCCCTCTGCATCTCAAGCCTGGACTCAGATTGATCACTTTGTGATCAGCTACCGCTGGCGTGATTGTGTACAAGACTGTCGCTCCTTTTGGAGTACCCATCTGCACTCTGACCATGCCGTGGTCTGCGCCAATCTTACCTTACTTTTCAGTGGACAACGAAGTGACCACCACCAAAGGATTGATGTCAGCAAGTTGGTTGCAACTTCTGTTGCTAGTAAGTATCGAACCGAGCTAGCCTCTAGACTAGCTACCACTCCACCGAAAAGTATAGATGAGCATTGGTTTCAACTTCATGACTCCATCAAAATGGCGAATAAAGCCGCTTACAGCTCCGCGAAACGTCCCACTTGTAAGCACTGGGCTTCTCCAGGCTCCTTACAACTCACCCCGTCGGTCTAATCCTGGTGCCCGGAGCACGCTTCGACCACCAGGCTTCTCGGTCCTTACGCAAGCTTTGCTCGATTACACTACGTAACATCTTTCGTTTCTGGACAAACTCACGGTTACCCGGACATTCTCTTTTCATTCTCTGAATTTCGTAAATAACACCTCCACCACGAGAAGGTGGTGAGTAGGACTTCTCTGGCAGAGGCTGTATACGTGTGGCCGTGTGAGATCATTTTGAGAGGGAGGGGCCTTGTTATGGATGCTGAGGAATAATGTGCCATGTTAAGTCTAATGATGTCCTTGGACGTTAAATGAACATCTCCTATTGGCCGTTATTTATTTCACTCGTTAAATATTGTACAGATGTTGTTTTCTATTTTCATGGTACGATGTGGTCTGTTTGGTTGGTATATAAACAGAGTATGCTTGAAATATAACGATTCATAACTCAGAGGCTGTGACGTGTGTTCTAGACTCAACTGGCTGGGCTAGACAGGGAAGCGGGACCAATCAGAACCCTAGGCCGTTCACTACGTGTTTTCCGTGTCACCGAATGGGTCGATATAAACGCTGCTTATCATAACCTGCAGTCCACCCGTTACAACAGACCTACCCACTCTCGGCCATGCCAATGCATTTGGAGTTATAGACATCTTCTTAGTTCGGTTAAAAGGATTTTAGACTAATGGTAGCAAACTTAAGACGTGAAGGTGGTGTCATACTGCCAAATGTACAGGGGATTCGCCTCATAAAGTTATTTACCTCGGACAAGCAGCATCCCTTTAGATACTACCTTTACATAACCATGATAAGGCCTTTTTGAAGTACGGAGTTAACAGACTAAAAATTGGATACAAAAAGGTGGTGTGTGACAAAATGCAAGTTATATTTTGAACGCTTCCAGGTTGCCAAAACCACCCCTAAACCTGTTTCGTTATCAAGTACCTCAAAAAGAAATACTTCTCCATAACGTGTTCAGCTGAAAAATGACGAGTTCTCATATCTCAAAGAGGACTAGATGCATTAGATTAATTTATAAGTGGTTTCAGTCAAAAATTGACATCAGCTGAAATACCGCTGGAAACAAAGGGACATTGGATACTTTTCTTCTATTGCGGGACTTCCCAACAATCTGTACTGACAACACGGCCAGCGGTCTATATCAAGACTTTCAGCTCTCAGCGATGACAGCGAATGTCGGGTTATATCGTGGATTGATTTAAGTTGGGACTGAATCACTGAAATTCAGTTATGTGGTTTAAAAGTCAGAACCAGTTCATACTAATAACGGCTAGTGAAAAAGAGTGACTATCGAAAAGGTGTATATAAAAGTGAGCATTGAAATGAGAATAACGTTTTTAATGGTATGAAATATGTTCGATTTACCCTTTGCCCTTTGATCTTCTAGTGAGAAGCCGTAAAAAGCAGAGTTCAACCATGTTGAGTTTGAGAAAAGTACCTATCGAAGACAACGGAAGACTGTCACGCAATATCTTGAACTGACTGATGTTAGGAAATGTACACCATCGGATTCCAGATCAATAGTCTAAGGGTTAAGCGTTTTAAGTCCGAGACCAAAGGTCCTGGGTTCGATTTCCAGACGCGGGCCATGGATGCGCACCACAAAGGAGACCCGTGCTAGGACGAAAGTAACCGTAAAGTGCTCCAAAATTTTCAATGGTTGTCTAACTTAGATTGATTTGTGATTTCAGTAAAATTCAACAATGTCCACAATGCTATACTGACAATATATTAAGCGTAAATAAAGAAGACAACAGTAAAAAGAAAAGGGAGAATATACAATACTTACTTTTGAGTTACCGGATGAAGAAAATCCGATTGTTGTCTTCGATCAGAATAACAATCAACACTGTTATTATATTGTTCTGGCTTATCATTAACAATCCATTGTTTTAAATCACTATTTGCAATACGATGTAATTCAGTTACAATTGAATTATCATTATTATTATTATTATTATTATTATTATTATTATTATTATTATTATTATTATTATTATTATTATTATTATTATTGTCACATGAATTCATCTCATTATTTAGCGTATTTGATGAAATACCAATTATTGAATTTTCATTAGTGACTGATTGTATTGATGCATCAATCGAGTTCCTTTTTATCATCGATAAAGAACATCCACCACAACATGTCGGTCCACCAGGACCGCCTTGACATATTCCAAATTTTGGACAGTATTCTACTACAATATCATTATGTTCAATAATTTTATTTGGATTCATTGTATTGATTTCATTTGTCTGCAAGATATACCATGTATTAGTGGAATACAGAATAATAATAAACAATTTGTCAGTACTATGATGGATATTCAATGTAGGTTTATATACTCAGTAGGTACGTTTAAAACTGTGTTGGCAGTCATAAGAACAGATTAGAGGAAAATTAGGTTGAACCAACATATAGGATTGACATATGAAATCACTTACTATTGGTCTGAGCCTTGATAGTTGTTATAATTGATTGATTAACGAATAGTGAGCAATGTCATTTAAATCAAGTCATTAATAGTTGTTGTACACTACTTGGTTGGGGTCCGCGCGATAAACGTGATCAGTGGTAGGAGAAGTTGTGATATTACTCAGGATCGGTTACAGTAGCATGAATGCATACATTATTTATTTTCGCTTAAGCATTTAGTTTTGATATTTTGTGTATTTTATTCCTTAAATTCATCTATTCTTTTCTAACTACATTTTTCAAGGTTTACTACTTCTCACTATCATTAGCACAACTGCTACTTCGATACTATTCCCATTTATCTTGTTAACCTCATTATGTCGTATTACTGTGGAATATTAATTTGTACTCATGTACAAATGAGTCAAATTCTAGGTTGTTTACAACTAGTTCTATTGCATTTGATCAACATTGAAGACCAGTGAAAAACATATTAGTTAGTTACTTACTAAATAATCAAAAGTAATCTACATTAGACTCGTACTCAAAATTAGTAGGATTGTATCAAATGAACTTATTATTGAGAAATATCTTAAGAATTACACGTATATTTCATTCAATTAGGTTGAAGAATAACACTTATTATGAAAAAATAGTATACCTGTAGGTTATATTCATCACAGATTGATTTTCAGTTGGGGTACCATTGAAAACTAGGGAGCACTGAACAGCTGTTTCGTCTTAGCACGAGACTCCACGATAGTACATACCCATGACCCATGCAGGTATCAAACCTAGGACTTCTGGACCTTGCAGCAAACGTTCAACTATTGGAACAATTAGGTAATACAGTGCGACCATCATCTAATACTATTAGGAACAACTGATTCACTCCCGATATTTCTGAACTCCATAAATTAAGACTTCTAGTGTTTTGCTATTTTCAATGGCACTCCAACTGAGTTCAATCTGAATCGAGTATAACCCATAAAAGTTCTTCAAATTGACTTAATGCACAACAACAACTAAGAGATAATTTAACAACTAACTTGTGAAGTAGTACTATTCATCTCTTCATTAATAGATTGATTTTGTTCCATTGATAAGTTGCTACTGTTATTATCCATCGATTGTGGTGGTGGTGATTGTCTTAACCAACGTGATAAATCAATCGGTCCAGAATGAAAAATATGTTCAGGAAATAATGAATTCTTTGTTAAATTATCGATTTTTGATGAATCTATGCAGAGTGTAGACATTTCTTTATTAATTGATAAAGTTGTATTCTCTGGTATTAACCAAGAAGATTTCACTGAACGTGTACTGTATTCACTGATATTATTACTACCAACACTAGAACCAATACTGCTATCATTACGACTAAGTTTTGTCGATAAACCAGGCATATCTCTTAATTCAGCCTAAGTTTTATAATAAAACAAACAATTCTGAGTTATTATTTACTTCTACATTTTGAAAATCTCTAGACAACTATTTGTCTACACAATCACATCGTCTTAGGAACAGACAATTATTGAAATGACAGAGCAAAAATTGACCATAATAGTTAGGGGTATTTATTTTATTAGTGAGTGAATAATCTGCAACTGTCAGACCTTTGAATCATTTGGTTATGTAATCAATATTTCATATATATGCCCCCAAATGCCCTGGTACGGTCGAGAGTGGGGAGTGTCCGCTCTCTCTCTCTCTCTCCCCAAATGCTCTCACATGGCTACGCGTATATAGCCTCTGCCAGAGTAGTCCTACTCACTGCCTTCTCATGACGGGGGTGTTGTTTACGAAATTCAGAGGACGAAAAGCGGATGTCTGGAGCTTTAACCGGGTTGGTGGACATGGAGAGTCAATATAGGGGAGTTGGAAAACCCTCATTCCAAACCAATGGTGCACATGGGCTCCACTATCCTGAAGGAACAAATGGTGTATGAACCAATCGTTGGTCACCGGCTATCATGAGACTGCATCTTCTTACGATGCTCCACTGCTTTGTGGATCAGACCTTCAGGTCAAAGGCTCCGGATGTGGCCCCCTAAGAAAACCACCTGCTTCAGTTTGGGCACCCGGACAGTATCACAGCCCTCACACATATTAAATATGATCTGTGTGGCGCATATGTAATTGGTGCCTCCTTGTACCTATGTGACTTTCTTCTTCTTCATTTCATATATATAAGCATGTTATTTTGTTAGAAGGAAAAATCCCTCTTTCTGAGCAATGGTTTTATGTTTTATATCAGTTTGATCTCAATAGACTAAGTTAATGTGATCTGGTTACGTGAGCAGATATCACTCGGTCAGGTTCCATTCATTAATCTAACAATCAATGGAAAATTCTCATTATACTAAAATACAGATATATGAAAGAAGAACATTCTTTTCAAGTACGCTACAATTATGTAACCAAATGTATAATCGAAAAATTGGTCAGATTTAAGATAAAATACATAGTTTAAAATGTGAATTTAGGATTGTTTGTAATATATCAATTAAATAAAATCATTAATATTGAAATGATGAATATAAAGTGTTGACTTAAATGAATGTCAATCTAATGCTATGCGCCTACCAACGACTACAATGAAGATGTTGAAGATCAATTCTATGATAAGTTGCAGTCAATCGTTGAGAAATGCCCAACAAAGGACTTGACCATTCTGATGGAAGACCTAAATACCAAGGTTGAAGAACACCGGATATGAAGACATCATGAGACGACATGGATATGAGAAGAATGAACAATAATTGGATAGAACTAGAAAGAAAGGCCCAGGACAGAGTGGGTTGGGAAATGCTGGTTTAAAATGTGGAAATTATAAATGGATTACAGACAATCCACTTGTGTATAACTGAACTACAAATGGATGAATGCTAAGATTAAATAACAATTCCTATGTGTATAAAAGTTAATATAATCGACAAACTTTCGAATATGTACTGATTAGATTAACTAAGACATATATACATATTGTTCCAACCGTGTACAAGCTTACATACACTACAAGATATTACATAATAATAATCCATGACGGAAAAAAAGGGATCTGAATAGTTGAAAAGGGGACTGGCACACAAACTTACCGGATCACAGAATAACCAATCTTTTAAACTGGATATATTTTGAGATGAATTTGTCAAAATGTCAAAGCTTTCCGAAGTAGATTTATCTAAATAAGATAGATAGATGGTATGTAAATATTTAAATGTAGTGAAAGTGACTAGTCGATTTAAAGTAATACGGTTGTTAAAGAAAACTCAAAAAATTTCTCGTTAGAATAATTAAAACTAATTATCGATTGGATACTAATTAATATTATTTTCTAGTTCAAAAGGTTTTGCGGAGATTAGTTCAGTGTGTGTGCTGTACTCATCACAAAGTGACCTCAGCTAGAGAAGAACCATCGAAAACCAGAGATCATTAGACAATTTCTTTGTTTTAGTATGAAACCCCTTACCTCACTAATGATTTCAAGGTACTTTTCAACATCTAATGAGAATTTGTGACTGGTAGAATTCAGGCATGTCGAGAGTGAAACAATCATCATTAATGGTATTGCAAATTGAATAAAGTTGAAACTGTACCACCGGACACCGACCCAGTTGTTCCAATGATTAAATATTTACAGCTAAACCAGAAAGTTTTGGGTTCAATTTCAGGCAGGACTGTAGGAGCGCATTGTTGAGGTATCCTATACCAGGAAGAAACAGTCATCCAGTGGCTCCCTGATTTCCAATGTTGTTTCAATTGAGACCAATCTGTGACGAACATAGTGTATATTATCATATATATGTAGTGCAGGATTATGTCCATATATTCGATATTGTAACACGCACTTTAATGTTAATTGAGTCGTAGTTACTACTGTTATGAGAATAAACTTCTAACAACCGCATTATTTAATGTAAAATAAGAAATTTAAACACATTGATGAATCCATGTTTGATCAATCACTTCTGGTAGACAAATTAAAAAGATATCTCTATTATCCCTAATGTAAATTTTGTATAGACTTTTGTTTCAACTCTCTTTTATCCAATCCATTCATATTCTAACTTACATCAAGTAGACTTAAGTGTAATGTAGTGAAAGTAATATCATACAAGGAAGAATTTACAAGTTACAAATAGATTTTATTGATAATGCAACTAACAAATAATCGTCTAACGTCAATCGAAATCGACTTTAAAATCAAGGTTCACTGGTTTTTACTGCTTTGTATCAGAGATGATAATAATAATAATAATAATAATAATAATAATAATAATAATAATAATAATAATAATAATAATAATAATAATAATCAGGTCTGACAATTCTGAATATTAATGTTCTAAGCAGTAAATCGAAGATAATATATCATGAATTACCAACTTTTCTCAAGTTACTCCCAGTTTGGTCAATTGACGAACTAAAGTGTGAAGTTAATGATTACACTTTTTCCGATTATGTTAACAGTGGAATAAGAAACTCTTCATATAGGATAATCATATCCATTGTGTTATATAAAAAAAATCTAGACAGAACAATAGTGAATTTTATTCGCTGTATTTGTATACAGAATACATTGAACAGAAAATGAAATATGGTTAATCAGCATCTTGATATGACATAAAGAGACGAATCTAATGACCAGTTCAACATTTTCTACTTACTGTAGCTTATTTATTAAGTACAGGTCTATGTAGTCATTTTTTCAACTGCATACATCAATTATGTATGGGGATTTGTGATGAGATTCGATTGCCCAAATAGAAGTAGATAGAGTAGGGTATTAGCTTAAAACTTATGTTAGAAACCGATTCCCTTGACCACTATAAGGTACCTTTCTATTAAAGAGACTTCTTACTGATTATCACTTTTAAAACATTACAAAGAGAGGTATTATTCTTCCAATAATATTAGTTCATACACATTCGGAGATAAAACAGAATTCTGAATCCTCAAGGTTGAATAGCTCGTTGGTAAATGTATTATAGATGTAAGATAATTGGAGTAATAGATACATTACAATTTCATTGATACGATCCAACGAGTGCTAAGCACTAGGAAAAAAATAACATTGGTCAATCCTTGTTCAGTGATCAATCTAAGTGAATTTATCAATGAACAAATTAACTCCCAGGTTACAAACAGATATATATAACCAGTGAGTAATAGCAAGTGCGAAATACACATTGAAGAACACTATATCGAATACTAAATGCAAACAGGTCTTAAAACCTAATAAGTGAATTTTAGCAAATCAGTACGCCATAATAAACAATTAACGAACTTTGTTTTAAATTAGAGGGCTTTAAGCTATTATTCAATCCGTATAATTCTCCTTTATGATAAGATGTAGATTCTACTGTCAGTGGTTGACTATCATCTCGTAATTCAAGCCATGTACGGACAAGTGTCGAGTGTGGCTGACAATATGGTACACGTACAGCTGCTGATTGTGAAATACTGGATTCGAAATTATCTTGTACTGATCCTTTTTCCTACAAAGAAATTATTTAAAGTGTTAATCAGGGTTAAAATTGTAAAAACAAGTTTCAACGAGTAATTAGTTTCATGTTAAATGAATAAAAAAACTTAAGAAGTTAATGGAACATCTGTATGACGAACTCTAAAATGAAGTATCGTTTATGAAACGTAACAAGTTCATATTTGTGCAGCGAGTTGAGAGCTTGACTTATGTTTCATGGAAACTACCGAGTTGGGGTAAAGTCAGTCAGCTACAACGTGGGACCAGGCACATATATGCATCGGTCCAAGTTGCCATACCTTATTGGCACAACAAGACCAACACTACATTCATAGGAGTAGTTATTTCAGTTGTGGTAATATATAAAACGAAGGTTGCATATAAAAATCTAGCACAGAAACAAAGATTTAGTACGTAGAAAGAAAGATATGAAGCCATTTTATGCTGTTAGTTTAAGGGAAGATAGAGAGTGTATACACCGACGCCATTGTGATCGATGCCCCCAAATGCCCTGGTACGGCCGAGAGTGTGAGGAGTCCGCTCTCCTCTCGAAATACTCTCACACGGCCACGCGTATACAGCCTCTGCCAGGAAAGTCCTACTCACTGCATTTTCGAGGCTGGGGTGTTGTTTACGAAATTGAGAGGACGAAAAGCGAACGTCTGGCGCTATAACCGGATCTCAAACCAGTGGTGCACATGGGCTCCAGCATACTGCGGGAACGAATGACGCATGAACCGATCCTTGGTCACCGGCTACCAGGGGACTACACCTCCTTACGATGCTCCATTGCCTCGTAGGTTAGACCTTTAGATCAAAGGCTCGAGGTGTGGCACCCTAATTTATTTATTTATTTGAACACATAAATATTGGTACAAGAGAGCGCCAATATATATGCGCCGCACAAAACAATGAGAATTCGAAGAGAAAGAAAAAAAAGGTAAGGAGCGTAAAAAAACAGAACAATAACGAAGAGGTTGCTGTAAGGTAGTGTAGTAATAATGAGGGAATGGAAAGGTACAATCAGAAGAAATCTTTCAGTCAAGGGAGACACAACCACTTTTTATGAAGAAAGTAAAAGAAGACTACAGCAGGATCGCCACTGGCTTCTATTCTGAGCCATATCTGATAACGTCTCTAGCCACTGTGTAGCACCATATCTCGGACCCCAACCATGGAGTCGTGAAGGACCAACAGAAGCCAGTCCTTTACAGATTTCCTTCATGCCACGACACCATGTCATGCACTGACCACCTCTCCGCTTCTTCCAACCAGTCCCAGAGTCGGCAAATAATGCACGACGTGGAATTCTCTGGGACGACATTCGTAGAACATGTCCAAGCAACCGAAGTCGGTGTTTCAAGATAGTGACACCAATTGCATTATCATTTCTGTGCCCGAACACACGATGCCGAATCTCTGCATGGTGTTGCCACTGGATGTCAGCAATCCTTCGGAGACAGCGATGATCGAACACAGAGAGTCTTTTAACGTCCTCAACTCGAAGAAGCTAGGTTTCACAAGCATAGAGCAAAACTGCTCTCACCGACGCGTTGTAGATCCGACCTTTTACAGCCAGACTAACATCACGAAGGCGCCAAAGGTGGCCCAGATTGGCATAAGCCGCTCTGGCTTTCACCATACGTACATTGCGAACTGGAGAGTGTACCAACGTCATGGAATGAGTCGATAGTTGTCCCTATCTTTAGAAAGGGTTCACGTCGTTTCTGTAACAACTATCGGAGGATAAGTCTACTTCCGATTGCGTCCAAGCTATTGGCTTCTGTCATACTTCGTAGGTTGTTCAAAACCCGAGAAAGATTGACTCGCGAGGAGCAGGCTGGGTTTCGTTCTGGTCGAGGATGTATTGATAATATCTTCATCCTCTGCCAAATGTTAGAACACCGCCATACTTATCAAAGGCCAACAATAGTAGTGTTTCTTGACATCAGGGCTGCCTTCGATTCGTTGAACAGGACTGTTCTCTGGGATTGTCTATTGAAGAAGGATGTGCCTGAGAAGTTTATTAACATCCTAAAAGCCCTATATACAAACACCTCAGGCAGAGTGGGGGAATACAACCACCTCTCTCCATTGTTCTACTCGAGCAATGGGGTTAGGCAGGGTTGCCCAATCTCACCATTCCTCTTCAACTTTGCCATCGATGATATTCTGGAAACAGCTCTGATGGATGTAAGTAATGGTGGTGTGGATCTGTTGCCTGGAGAAAGACTTCTCGACCTTGAGTATGCGGACGATATTGTCTTACTGTGCGATAATGCCCAAGCCATGCATTCCGCACTTAATCAGTTGGCAATCAGTGTCCGTAGGTATGGTATGTGCTTTGCACCTTCGAAGTGCAAAGTACTTCTACAAGACTGGCAGGATCCTAATCCTGTACTCACCCTGGATGGTGAGCAGATAGAAGTAGTTGAGAAGTTCGTGTATCTGGGTAGCTGCATAAGTGCTGGTGGGGGGTGTGAGTGATGAGATCAATGCACGTATGGTGAAAGCCAGAGCGGCTTATGCCAATCTGGGCCACCTTTGGCGCCTTCGTGATGTTAGTCTGGCTGTAAAAGGTCGGATCTACAACGCGTCGGTGAGAGCAGTTTTGCTCTATGCTTGTGAAACCTAGCTTCTTCGAGTTGAGGACGTTAAAAGACTCTCTGTGTTCGATCATCGCTGTCTCCGAAGGATTGCTGACATCCAGTGGCAACACCATGCAGAGATTCGGCATCGTGTGTTCGGGCACAGAAATGATAATGCAATTGGTGTCACTATCTTGAAACACCGACTTCGGTTGCTTGGACATGTTCTACGAATGTCGTCCCAGAGAATTCCACGTCGTGCATTATTTGCCGACTCTGGGACTGGTTGGAAGAAGCGGAGAGGTGGTCAGTGCATGACATGGTGTCGTGGCATGAAGGAAATCTGTAAAGGACTGGCTTCTGTTGGTCCTTCACGACTCCATGGTTGGGGTCCGAGATATGGTGCTACACAGTGGCTAGAGACGTTATCAGATATGGCTCAGAATAGAAGCCAGTGGCGATCCTGCTGTAGTCTTCTTTTACTTTCTTCATAAAAAGTGGTTGTGTCTCTCTTAACTGAAAGATTTCTTCTGATTGTACCTTTCCATTCCCTCATTATTACTACACTACCTTACAGCAACCTCTTCGTTATTGTTCTGTTTTTTCACGCTCCTTACCTTTTTTTTCTTTCTCTTCGAATTCTCATTGTTTTGTGTGGCGCATATATATTGGCGCTCTCTTGTACCAATATTTATGTGTTCAAATAAATAATAAATAAATAAATAAATTGTGTTTGATTCTGAGCCATGTCACCAAGAGTCTCCAACCATTGGTTACGATAGTCGTGAGGATCCCAACCAAGTGGTCTGCATCTACCAACATGGCTCAGACCAGATATTAGTGTCTTCAAGCACTGATGCCACGATTTTGGTTTGGCCGCCCCATCCATGCGATTATCGCAGCCAATAATTGAAGAATTTAGGTGTCACTGCTTAGCATTGGTTACAATGATGTAGATTCAAGTCACTCTTTGTCTTCCCTTAGATCTTCGTTTTCAACATTGCTTTCTACCTTTTTATTCCATAAATTCATTCTTCTCGAATCATATTGTCCACCTGTAACCTTTCTGGGGTTACTGCTGGTTCCAAGCTCGGATAAAGGAGGAGAGTTGGGCACGGGGTTGACAACCCCATCCCGTAGAAAACAACCTCAATAAGAAAACCTAACCAGAAAAAAGATATTTAAATCACCCCTAATCTTTTATATTACTGATGATGATGTTACTAATTTCATCACTCTAAGATTTGGGTTGATAATTTCATCTCACTGTGCTGTTCTGGTATGGAATATTGAAGTGATGCATATATATATGAGAAGTCTTTATGTTGTTTATGACTCACTAAAATCAAGAATGTTACAAAACACTTACAGATAATTTACTCAACCAGAAATAATCATTTTTTGAAGTGAAACTCATCCCATCCTCTTCTTCTTTCATTGTATCTATATTACTCAAAGAATCGGATGAAGTTCTTCGTTTGCATTTATGTTCTGTTAATGATAACCATTTTTTTAATGTTGGATCATTGCATATACATAATGGTTGGACATGACTGAATACAGTAGAAGAAAGAATTGAATTTCCAATTCTTATCTGTTCTTCTTCTTCAAATAATTGCGGTAAACATACTGAAGGTTTATTTGGATCAGCAAAGTGACCAGGATATCTAGATGCAAGTCGACCAAATGTTGAAATAATTTCATTTAATTGTATATTCTCAATATGGAAAGCAATAAATGGTGTTAAATCTGATGTTAAATTAATTGATTCAGCTCGTCTAACATAATCACCAATTTTTGTATCGATTTCATTTCTGGTAACACATGATTGTAGTAAAACACTTCTTAAGGATTCAACTGTTTGTTTATTACTATTAAGTAGAAGTAGGAAAAACAAAAATAAGCATTTAGATATAAATGAAAAATGGAAATAACCTTTCAATGAGGATAGATTTCTCTTTGGCAATATTATGCAATTGAATAAGTAGATTTGATTGTCGTTTACTTAATAATTCTATTAAATTTTTAAAATTTGCTCTTATTTCAAATTCAGCATTTAAAACATTTTGATCGAGTAATGGTTTATAATTAACAAGTCGTTGATAAAGATGATCCAATCGTTCAACAGCATCTTTTATTCTTGGTTCCATTTTTAATTAAGCCTATAACTGGAAAAAAACAAAATGGATAAGTAGATTTTGTTTGACAAACTACTCCATGTAACTGGCATAAAATTTAAAAGTAATAAATATTGTAAAAAGTAAAAAAGAATAAAGAGAGGTAAGTTGGTGGTGTACAAGAATTCATGTTATTTGACACTTCTTAGACCAGTTAAGAATGATGTCATTCAGTAACCAAGTATAGATTTGTGTACTCCACTTTAGGACACTTTATTTATGTAACGCCTAACGACACCCCATATCAACTCGTCTGCCAGGTACAAATTCGTAGGCTTGGTTTCTAATCGGACTTTAGGCATGAAGACAAGTGATAATACTTAATCACCCAAACAGAAGTAGGTGGTGCGGAGTCTGCACCTGTAACTTTATGGTTGGAAATCGAACGCCTTAACCAATGAGTCACCACTCCATGATACTTCCACCAAGCTGCTTAAACTTGATTGGTAGTGAGGTTCAACCAGGAAAATCTCATTTGATAGAACCCCACTAGAAAATTATGGCAAAACTTGTTAATTGGACGAAGTAGCTACACATAACATACAGAACGGCAAGGAAGTGGATTAGCACAAGTTGTAATTCTAGGTTAGTGTGACACGAATAACAAGAATAGTGGATGAGATGAAATAACAATAATGCCTATGAACATGAGGAAGACAAAAGCATTTAAGAATCTGATTAAAAAAGAAGTCATTTTACTCAACATTTCCAACCACTAATCACAATTACCACGCGAACCCTAACCAAGTAGACTGAAATTTCCAATATGACAAACCAACAGTAAATGGCTCCAGTCAGCCATACGTAAAGTAGAACCTGGCAAACATGTGTATCGTTTTGAGTTCCAGTACCATACTTGCACAGCGAAATGAAATTATAGAGACGAACAGCACATTAACAGGAGTACCAACAGCATCAGTAGTTATAGAAAATGATAGGTATAGACGATATGATCCAAAAAGAATAAGTTCGTGAATTAAAAAGAAAAGTGAGATAATTTAGAAAATCAGGATCTAAAGAGAGACAAATAGTGAATTTATCTGCACCATTGGAACCGATTTGAAGCTACGTCACCTACCTCCAACCAATGGTTACGGTAACCAGGATCACATGAGTATAAGTCAGTAGCTTCATGAACAGATGCCAAGTTTTGGTTTGACCTTTCCCAATTTTCTTGCAACCTGCAATGACAACCAAATTCTCATTCAAGATAGACAGTATGGAGGCTCAAAACTCAGAAAAGCAGTCCCCGCATTGAATTATATCTGGGATATAAGTTTTTGCCTGTTCGTAACCTTCATATCGGCTAATACCAACTGTAGCTCAAATAACGAAGAAAATGTAGGCAGAAGTCATTTGTTGTTTTCGAAAACGCCTAATACTTAACTAATTGACGACCAACTGTGTAAAGCTGTGCAACACACTCGAAAGGCCTCGAAATCTTAACCCGTTTAAACAATCAGGAGAACGAGAAGTGTGATCTATTATGCTAAAACGTAGGATAACATGGAAATTAGGATCCTTGTATTATTGCCTATGCTAGTTTGTGCGGAAAACCCTGACTTTAACTCCTAATCCTAATTCCTAACACTAATTTATAACTCATTGATATGTGAGCCGTAACAGGGTAGTATCCATGTTTACCATTGGCTTGGTAGTATCGTACAGCCAACCGATCGACATCAAACATGAATTATAGCCCTTAATGACAACTCATGAGAAGTATTTAAAACCCCAATTAACTCTATTTTGCTCATGCTGGAACCTTTGAGCAAGCAACTCAAGTTTAATAGTTGACATAACATTTAAATTTTCTTGTTAATGAACATAAGCCATTGATTGCTTAACAAATTACTATATATATATATATATATATATATATATATATATATATATATATATATATATATATATATATTTATATATATATATATATATATATATATAAATCCATTGACCAATGAATATTAATCAGTCATAATCAACGTACAGCATAGTACGCACATCAGATGACTCAAGTACCAAAACATTAACACAACAGGATTAATACGCTAAGTTGAAATGACTGAGATGAGACATCATTGAGAGAATGAACATTGTGAGTGTGGTTCAAGGTAGCAGAGTAGAAAGTTATTATTGAAGGAATGCTAGAATTCGATACATAAAATCAGATGAAATTTGGGTGTGAGACTATTATATACAGACGATCATTGAGTGACATTAAAGTGGCCTTGACAATGTCCACCTACCTCCTGAGGCTAAATGAGAGTTGCAAAGCTGTGCAAAGAATGAGGATTGTGATTTACAGTTGATGGTTAGGGTTAGGAATTAGATTTAAGGTCTTCATCACGAACTAACATCAGCTAAAATACCAAAACACTCTTTAACCAAATGAATAAACAGAATTCGCGCCAAAATCCAAGACGCGTCATCTTAATATTTATTGGTTCGTCCATAAATTTTATTCTAGCCAGTAACTTTTTGCAGGCAAAACAAAGATTTGGTGCATGACAATGACATACGTGACATAGCAGCATAAATTCACCCTAGAAAAAATTCAGCGTATCATACCGAAAAAATCTAGACATTGCAATTTATTAGATGGCAAACAAATAGCAACCATTATAACACTTAAGGACAAACACAGTAACAAACCAATCCGAAGCGGCGCTGCAAGAATAGAGCGCGCTTCCTGGAATCAACATCCAATAGGCGCGTAAAATTAAGGTTTATTGTAGCCACAAAAAGAACATCAGAAACTGTTGTTGTAAGCATTTATCATAAACAAACAAGAAGAAACAGAGTGAACTCTCTTTAGCAAATATTAAGACTTGCCACATTTTAAATTTGCTCCTTGATGACAAAACTGGCTTTTGTTATTACTGTCCTAGTATGCTTCCGCATATGATTATTTTTTGATGAATGAGGCGTTCGAATTTGTAGAAAAAATTTCTACTTGTGTTAGTCCCCAAAAGTTGACTATTTGGTGCTAAAATTCTCATCCCACCACGACTCTTCGTCTTCGACTTAAGAACTTATAGTGACGTGCAAATTCAGTAATTTCCTTAATAATAAAAAACCACATTTTTCTACATTTGTGTTACTTTATGTGTCAATTGTGAGCGGACATTAATTAATCGGCTAGTTACTATTCATGCTATGGTTGATATTCAAAAATATATCCCCAGCGACTATTTGTAGTGACTCACGTTTATCACGAGAACACGACTGGTTTAATAAAAACAATTATTATTATAACCAACTGTACCAGTGTTTGTTTTAATGTGCTTTTGTTTAACTGTGCTAATTATAGCCATTTTGTGCTTCCATTACCTTCCATTATTGTTCCGCGGTTTTTGGTACTGTTCGCACGTACTCCTGTCTTCTGCTTTCACTTGTACCACTTCTTGGCACGATCTCGGTATTCGTTCAATACCACGAGATCGCCAACGAAATAAATCTGGTTACGTTCGATCCTCGCCTTCTGATTTGTCTGGCACGTGTTTCTTTGTAGCGGTGTTCATAGTTAACCTCAACTCGACACCACGCTACATATTATTCGCCTTTATTGACCACGGTCCGTGAACGAGAGATAAAATGGTTTTGCCAAATCCTGTTAGACCGCTCTACCTTATGTAGGACTCCTGTTTTGGATTCAGTCACCCTGTCAGATTTATATTTTGATTCACGTTGTCACTGTCATTCGAGTGTATTTTTACATACATATTCAATGATTTTTGTAGCAACAAAATACAAACCACATTTTTTCTCTAATTTGTCACACTATATATAACCACATTTATACTCAATACCTATTGTTTTTCTAAATCGATGGTAAAAAACGATCATAATTGTTTGCATATACACATATACTGATATAATACCGCATTGGTTGAAATATAGACGCTACCACAGCCGTCTGTTCTTCTGCTTTATAGGCAACGGCCTTTGATTGAAGATTATAATAGTGTTATGACGTCCTTTGAAGCCTTCACGCACTACGTTGGAACTTTGGCTCGGATCATTATTAGATAATACTATTGGATTTAATCTTTCTCATGACGTCGTTGGTGCCACCACGTGCAAAGGAATCTTCGTTAGTCAAGTGAACTCATTTGTGTTTGTTATCTCAGAGAGCAATTTATAAGTAACATTCATTTTATAACAGCTGTTAGCGTCTTGTTGTTTAATACACCATTTATATTGTAACTGTAATTTGTTAACTTTTGCTTTACTTATAGACAGACACCTAGGGTGTTTACTCGTTTTGGTATATTTTTGATAACCTTGCATACTGTTATATTTTGAATAGGCTCTTTTGTTGAGATCCGCCACAGACTCTCGGTCGCTAATATGGCGTCTACAGTTCTAGTGGTATATCTGTAAGATAAATTAAATCCTACATACAGCTATCAGCCTAAAAATGTGTGGAAAACTCAGTTGAAAATCAGAAGAAAGAATACGGGAGAAGCGATTATTCAGCAAGTGTCAAAAAACGTATTGAAAATGTAGTTATTTATAATTCTTAGTATAGATATCATCATTATAATCCAACCAATTAGCAGGCAGGATTCGATACAGTTATCCAGTCATCGCATGCTATGGTAACATTCCGAAACGTACTTTCAGAGTCTGATTGGCGGGAATATCTTCGGCTCCCTTCTGGCCTCTGGAGGTTACATTGTATGTCCTGGGAGGCATCTCAACGGATAGTAAACAGTTTCTGTTCATAAAATGTTTTTAGTGATTCCTACTAGATGAAAGAAATGGAGGTTGAAATGACCAATCTTTTGTACGTAGCTTCTTTGGTTCCCTTCTGATCAGTGGTCATATCAAAACAAAAACTCTGTGCCCAATTTAAACGATTCTAACTTAGTAAATAGAGCAAATTATATCAAAAATACAAAATACCTCAAACGGTAAAGCCTGTGCTATACAGTCAAAAGTTTCTCTAGAACAAAGTAGGCTGCCAA